AAGATAACAACTAATTAGCGGATTACCCTAAGCCCTAGACCTCCAATTTTGAGTTCTATCCCTAAACCCCAAATTGTAAACCCTAACCCTAACCCTAAATCTCTAAACTCTAAATCCTTCAAATTAAAGTAAATCTTTGATGGTTTTTGTGCAAATTCATGTGCGTTATTGTTCATCACATCATAAGTGATGATTGACATCATTTTGACATGAATCGCATGTTTAAAATGACGGTTATGAAGTGAGTGCACTGAATGCACCCAAAAAAGTGGGTGCACCGAATACGTCACCATATATATATATATATATTATAATTAATATAAAATAAACCGGCGGTGCCATATATATATATATACCTCCCCCGGTTCATTTCAATCCCATTCCATTTCTTTCTTTCCTTTTTCTATTTCCTGCATGAAGAGAAGCAGAGTGCACAGGGTCGCTTCGGAGAAAAATTTCAGAGCAAATTTCTTGAGTCCTAGTGATCCAAAAATCTCGTAAGTAACACTTAATCCATCCATTCATCGTAGTTTATCGATTTAGAGCTTTAAAACGAGTTTTTGGATCAGGAATTTCTTGAATTTCCGATCGAAGGAATTAGGGTTTCGGAGTATCCGGAAGCCGGATTGAGCCCAAATTTCATATACGAGCTTCCTGCAGCGAGGTAATTAATCCTCTGGTTCTAATCGATGAGTTTCGGCAATTATTTAGGTCGGGGTCCAAATCACTGAATTTATCTCCGGCCAGGGTTTGATGTGTTTTTATCGAGAATTTGACCCGGAGCCTAGAACTAACATTGACGGGGATACTGCAGGGGATATTAGAACGGTCTAGGATTTTAATTCGGGGTTCGTTGATGAAATTGACGTTTTAGTACGGGAAGGTTAAATCGGTGTTTGAACGACCAGAACTAGTGAGGGATTAGCACCGCATACCGGGTTTGTCGTATCACGATAATTACATCGATGCTTAGAATTGACCTAGGTGAACTAGAATGACATGATTAGGGGTGTATGAACGTTTGTGCTATATGTTGAACCCTGGACTGTTGTATGATATTATTGACTTGCCCTAATCGATATGGACCTTGTTTATGTTGATGATTGCATACATGTTGTCAGATGTGGGTTTAATTGTGGATATGCTTTATGATAGTTTGAGAAGGTGATTGGGCATGATTTTTCATGAATATTGTATTTGGATGCACAAGTGTGAAAATATATATCTCATGGTGATATTATGATGTTTAAGGAGGATGACTTGCATGAGGGTTTATCCCGTGGAAGTGCAATTATACGACTCCTGGTTATGTTGAGCCAATTGTGGCCAAGTCAAGAATATGTCCAAGTAATGAATTATGATTAAGCAAGATGAGATATGGATCATGTATAAGGATACCAAGTAAGAGTACTTTGGTCTCATGGTCAATTACATAGTAATTAGGGCTCCCCATGCTATTACTCCATTATGATATGTTATGTCACACCCCTGATGTGGTGTTGATCGTTGGTCCATCATGAGATATGACCACACCCAGAGTGGTGTTGAGTCCGATATGACCACACCCAGAGTGGTGTCAGGTCCAATATGACTACACCGGCAGTGGTGGATCCGATATGACCACATCCACGAGATGTTTGGTCCGTATTCCCGGGAGAGTAATTAGCATGGGAGTAGCCAGGTGCCTATGATTACATCCACGACTTGCACCCCAAGGCAAGTCCGTGAGGGGGTAGAGGCCCAAAGCGGACAGTATCTTGTCGGGAAAAGGTTCGGGATGTTACAGTACGTGCCCTAAGAGTCTCTTCGTCCATTTTTTTGTGGAAGTCAGACGCACGTTCGACGGTTTTTAGAGGGGAGGGCTGTTGGAAATAACTCTAGGAATTCCTTTTGATGCGGAAGATTGGGCTTAGCCGCAACCACAGAGCATACTTAGAAGAAACTAGAGTGGAGGAATGGAAGGAGAAAGAAGAATTGTGTGGTGGTGTGGTTTGGAATGGGGGAGAAGGGTGGTATTCATAGGAGGAGGATCCGCTGGAGAGAGAAAAAAGTGCAATCACCAATGCTCTCAATGACAAAAAGACCATGCTTTGCTCGAAGACAGTGAAGACCCCCGATTGCTGACGTGGGATGTTGTGAGGCGTTGGATCTAGGAGAAAACCAGAATTCGCGCCTCATTGCATCCATCAACAGCTGTGAATGGGCGAGCCGACGCGGATCATTGATGGGTCCACAGCTCATTCACCGCGTTTGTTAACGACAGTGAATGCGTTGCGGTCCACATCAGGGATCCATGCCCCCAACCCCTTCACCGTAGTCGTCCGATGCTGTGAGGCACAGATTATGGTTTCTTTACATATCGGACGCCTCACCATGTTACACGGCAGCACTGAGCACATCATCGCAAGTGACAACAACGGTGATGGTTAAAAAATCATTCATTGCGTTTGACCAAAATGGTGATGCATTCGGTGTTATTGACAAACGCGATGAATATCAAACATGTATAGATTGATTATTATTTTGTTAACCGCAGTCTTTATCAAACATGTATAGATTGATTATTATTTTTTTAACGTATGTATTTTGGTAAAGAATTTAAAAAACATGTGTATGGGGGGGATCACGAAGGGTAAAGCAGTCTTGCATTGGACAGGAATATGACCGTTGGAGGAGAAGTGATGAGTGATGACCCTCCCCTCCCCTCCCCTCCGCTGAAATCTAACGGTAATCACTAATCATTAATTAACTCATAGTGGGGCCGGGCCCAAAAGAGAATCAGATGCTATTTTTGTATGTAAAAACTAAAAAGCGTCGACAGAAAGTATAATCACAAAAAGCCCACTACTGCCTTCCTTCTTCTTCCCTCTCCCCCCTCTTTTCTTTCTCGATCGCACGCTTCAGTGGCATTGAGCAAGTTTACGACAACACAAAGAGGGGAAAAAGCGGCAATGGTGGTTAAGGCTGAACCAGCGACCCCGGTGCAGCAGACAGACGTGGTTCAGGTGCTGGAAGTAACATCACCGCCGCCAGCACCCGCGCCCCACCCATACGCGTTTCACGTCTCCGGTCCCCGCAATGTCGCTTCCCCGAATTGGAGAGACCTCATCAGTTCCAGTTGGTTAGTTTCTTCCCCCCTCCGCCATAATTCCGATTCGTCTCTATACCTGCATTCCGATTTTTTTCAATCAAACGCAGATCCGATTGGGGTTCCGAAGCTTTTACCAAATTTACTTCCCTTAAATAGCATTCTAGGTTTCTTCTGTTGATACTTGTTTGATTTCATCCCCAGATAGGTTGAATGATGTTTCCATGCCTGCAATTGAAAGTTCAGATCATGTGGAGAATCACAATCCAAAAATCTATTCTTTCTTTCTCTTTCCTGGTCTCTTTCTTGTTCGTCTAGGATTTGGGTGAAATTATTAGCGAGAAATTCAGGGGGTCGTTTGGATTTGGGAGAATGCCAAGGATTCTGAAGAATCCCATAGTGATTTCCCTCTCACCGTGATCCCTTACTACTTGTGTATTGTGGGTGCCAGGAAAGACGACAACTACAAGAGGACAGTGATTGCGTGCTTCATCCAAGCAGTCTACTTGCTGGAACTTGACAGGCAAGAAAACAGGACCCCAGCGGATGCCCTAGCCCCAACCTGGTGGACACGCTTCAAGTACAAGCTCTCCCAAACTCTCATCGATGAAAGGGACGGATCCATATTCGGTGCAATCCTGGAATGGGATCGATCCGCAGCAGTCTCGGACATGATCCTCATCAGGCCTAGTGGGGCACCCAGGGCTGTCCTGGTACTGCGAGGGACCTTGCTCAAGGGCCCCACCATGAGACGGGACATAGAGGACGACCTTCGTTTCCTCGCTTGGGAGAGCCTCAAGGGCTCTGTCCGGTTCAACGTGGCGCTGCAAGCATTGAGGTCGGTTGCTGAGAGGTACGGTGCAAGCAATGTCTGTGTTGCAGGTCATTCCCTAGGAGCTGGCTTTGCTCTCCAGGTTGGCAAGGCGCTGGCTAAAGAAGCCATATTTGTGGATGCTCATCTCTTCAACCCGCCTTCTGTGTCTCTCGCAATGAGTTTCAGGAACATGGGGGAGAAGGCCGAGTTCGCCTGGAAGAGGTTGAAGGCTATGCTTCCTTACGCTGCTGCAGCTGAAACTTCGGCTGTCACCATCCTTGACGGGCAGAATGGTAACAATGGTTCTTCTGGCTTGAGGAACTGGATTCCGCAGTTTGGGGACAAAACGAACATGGGGTCGAAGAAATGGGTACCTCATTTGTATGTGAATAACAGCGATTATATATGCTGCCACTACACTAACCCGGATGGACAGAATAATGGAGGTGGCGAAAATAAGGAGAATGTTGGCGCCGCCACCGGCTGCAGCAGCAGCAACATTGGGCAGGTTTCAGCGAAGCTGTTTGTGATGGCCAAGGAGAAACAGAAGTTTCTTGAAGCTCATGGACTGGAGCAATGGTGGTCTGACGATGCGCAAGGCCTGAAACTAGGCCTCCCAAATAGCAAGCTCATGAGCAGGCAGCTTAGATCTTTGTATAGCCTCCCAGCTCAACCAACTCAAGCCAAGCCACAGCAACAATAACACAATGAAGGGTTGGCTTGTTTTTTCTGCTTTGCTAAATACCTCGTTTTACAGTTTCCACCCTTACCTTAATCGCCTACAAGAGTTTTGTTATTTTACATCAATAACTGTAAAGAGTGATGTTATTCTGTTTATGGCATTTGAACCATCCTGCTTCTTCAGAATCGATTGCAAATTTGGCCAAGAACTCGAAATCATCAGCCACCCCTCTTTTTATTTTCTCTTTTATCAAGACTCTAGATCTGATACAAAGTAATACCTTTAGAAGAAAAGAAACACTTACAAAGTCTCCAGATTTGGTTGCATGAAGAAAAAGAATGATAAATCAGGCTAGACATGAAGAAGTTTCAAGTGTACCTCTGAAATTTAATGAAGCTGTCTTCGAAATTTCACTCATCATACAAAAACTTTTCTTGAAAGGGATAAAATAAAATGGAAACAGGGTACAGTATATAATTACGCACGTCGAGATCCTTGAACATTCTCCAAAAACGAAGAGCCTAACTGAATCATAAGGGGGTAAACAGGGCTGAATTCTTTGTCTCCTCTTGACCTGACTTTTACTGCATAATCGTCTAGGGTGGCTTTGACACCTTTCCAAATCTGATCCTCTCCTTGAGAATCAAGCCACAATGAATACTGAAGAGGTGTAAGCTTGTTCCTTTGCATTGGCGACAACAGTTCATCTGGCCCTCGAGAATACAGGTGGTGAAGTATGACATTCAGTGGCAAATCTTGAAGAAGAGGAGAAGATGCCAATTGAGATGTCTCCAAAAATATAAGAGGACGGAAGGCTCGAAGGGCTCGATAAGGTGCACCCAGCTGTTCTACGGGGAACAAACTCTGCCCCACAGTGAGCTCCAGCTCAGCCATGTCTCTAGCCATTCTCAGTTTCCCAGATTCTGAGAGCGGCCTCACAAGGGAAGCATGCCTCACAAACAATATCAGAACCCGTGCTGCCATGTTCCTAACAAGCTGGGTGCATATAGTTTCTATCCTTGCATTTGCTGAAGACGGTAACAATCTAGACAAGAACTCGGTCCGGAAGTGAAGGACGCACTTCTGCAACTCCTCCATGTAAGGTGAAGCGTTGTTATCCATTGCAGCATCCATGCCAAGTACTCCAAAGTTTTGATCATGAATTTGCAAAATACATGACTCCAGACGGTCAATCATTGCTTTGAACAAGGGAGTCACGGCATCTCTTGCAACTCCATAAATAACACCCAAGGAAGGAGATAGTACTTCTGCAGCAATGCTTGGCAGTTTCATAACAATGGATGATATACGTGTATGAATTTCTTGCAGATGCTGGGATAGCACAAAGTTTCTCAACTGTGCAGGAGTTGCAGCACCACTGATTTGACGTGCCTCATGGCCAGCTGATATCTGCCAGAAAAAGAAAATATATCCTTCAAATGACTATCCCAACTGGGCAACAACCACAAAGAAAAAATAAAAGATACATGAATTTTCCAAGTGCAGAATGAAGTATAGATTCAGTCTTCCGTCCTGAACTTGTCAATATACTAAGCAATATATTGTGCATAGAGAGATCAAAGACATCACATGATGACCAAATGGAAAATCGGATGAATCCCACCCCCACCTCGACTTTACCACCTTTGCATTGCCATCTACATATTCACGTAGCAGCAATAACTAAGAAATGCATCTTTGAAGAATTTACTACCATAATACGATAAAGCACATGCCAAATTGCTATACAGCAAGGTATCAGGACAGCTGCAAGGTAATACACAAATCATTACAGCTACTCCTAGATTATATCCATGACAAGATGCAACCAAATAATTCAGTCTGGCGGGTGAAACTAAATTCACATTGAAGTGAACAATTACCTGGTATTCAGCCCTTTCAGCAAGGAGGAGTAAGACTTTGCCAATTTCACGCAACACTAGCAGCGTCAAACGCCCATCTACCTGAACAGCTTCAATCTCTTCCTGAATACGTGATATGATTTTTGAGATCTGGTCTTTGGAGGGTACACTTCCTCTGCTTGACACAGGGAATATAGTATTCACAAGATCTGAAAGGCGACTTAAGCACAACGTCAAGAAAGCCGTCTGGAAAATTTCAATAGCTGCAACCATCTGCTCTTTTCCTTCTAAACTAATAGCCGGTGAAACCCCTTTAACATCAGTATCTCGTGATATTCTGTCGAGTAGATTTTCTATGATCGAAAAGAGCTTGGGATATCCTGTAGTAAATATTTCCTTCACAAAGCTTGAAGCAGTAAAAACAGACTTCATCTGGCTGGCAAAAGACTTCACTAAAGCTTCCCAAACTCGCTCCGTCAGCATGGTATCCCCCTCCTAAACAAAAACAAGTACATCGAACTTCAGCAAAACGGGTAACAAAACCTTAAAAGAAATCATGATTCTAGTCACCAGCACATAGATAAAATCAGGTTATGCGAGACGGACTAGATACATGTAAGTTCACAGATCCGAGGTGATTTAGATTGTATGGCACCAGAAATAAATTTATTGTTAAAATCATTAACAAACAATCAACCAAAAAATGATCAAGCACGGATAGTCATCAATGTCTCTTGGGTTTAGGGCATTGAATCAGAAGAAAGCCCCGGGCTCATCAAACCCACACTTCTGGATACTCAATTCTCAAGTCAAATTCACCTTCGATTAACTAAGAAAACAAGAATGGACGTAGAGCAATTCAACAGCAAAAGATTAAGCTTGACCTTAATAACTTCTTCAAGGAGCAAGGCGTGAGTGAATGGATCCCTTTTCTTGGAGAGCACCCTCTCCAAGTGCCAAACTGCAACCATAATAGAATGCAACTGATCCATACAACTTCCCACCCTCTGCCAGAGCCCATCTCTAGCCTTTGCTCCTCCTCCAATCTGTGGCGTTCCACTCCCTCTGATCCCTCCTGGTCCAAATCCTCCGCCACCCCCTCCCATTGAAATCGCCTTCATGTCCAATGCGGCTCCAATACTCTTCACCCCAATTCCCTTGTACTTATTCACCAGCTGCTCCACAGTGACCTTCAACTCTCCCAAATTATAGAAAACCTGCAAGCCAGTGCCCACTTCAGCCTGGTTCAAACCTTCCATCCCATTCTCTAGAACTTTCATCGCCTCGGCTCGTAACCTCTCCCCGATTTCTCTCACCAGCTTCAGCTCTTCATCCACAATTTCAATCCCCACCAAATCATACTCATGGCACATACTTAAAATCTCACAGTGCAGCTGGGCGGCCTTGGCAAGATCCAGCTTCTCGGGTTCCGTCTCCGACGCAGATGCGAGATCTCGCAGCTTCTTCGACAGTCGAAGCGCCCGGATCGTGTGTTGCAATAGCTCGGTGGTGGAATGGAGATTCGAGAGCTGCAAGGTCTTGGTCTGGATGGATTTGTGGGGATCGGAGAGTTCGGATCGCACGCGAAGCACGGAGGACTGAAGAGATGCGACGGCGGATCGGACGGTGGAGAGCGCGTGCTCGGCATGCTTAAGAGAGGAGAGTTGGTTGAGGAGTTCTGGGTGGCGGGAAAGGACTTCGGTGCGTATCTGTGATTCCAGGAGGCGAATTGCGCTGTGAAGGCGCTCGGCGGTGGAGGCAGGGGAACCGGAGGAGAGAGCGGCGGAGGAGAAGGAGGTGGTGGAGAATGAGGGAGAGAGGAAAGGGGAAAGGATTGGGTCATTGGCGAAGGAATCGAGCGGAGAAGCGGCTGATGTGGAGGTTCCGGTTGTGGTAGTGGATGCGGCAGGGTTCTTGAAGGTGGAAAGACGCTGGAGGGGGGAGGAAGATGGGGAAAGTTGAGATCTCTGGATTGCCGCCGGCGACGCCATGATTTAACTTCTGCCGTTTAGTATCGTAGGATTGTAGTACAATATATTAGGTGCTTGCTCATTTTCTGTTCAGTGAAGTTGGGGTCTCTTGCTGAAAGCCATCAACTGCCAATTGGGCTGAACTATAAGTGAAATGAAGCTCTGTTTTAGTCAAGGCCCATAAACGTTTTCCTGAGCGCTCTTCCTTGTGGTGGAATTGGATTTAGAGTGACAAGTTGAGATGCAAATGAGTGAATTCGAGCGAGTGTTGTTGACATGTTTTCTTAAGGATAAATACAATTTAATATCCAAACCTTTTATTTTAAATAATATAATAGTCAAACTTTTTCGAAAATAATTTAATATCCAAATTATCAACTTTTCGTCTGTTTGACTGTTTGTTGACACTTCATCAAGTTCGAAGTACGACACTTCATCAATATCTATCGATATCTTCTCTGAAAAACCACCAACATATCGTGGTTCCAAACCCGAGAAGTCCATGACTCCACCATGATGGTATAGAATATCTAAATATCCAGTCATCTACAATGCCAAAACAAGAAAACAAAGCTGTATTGTGACCATTTCCCCTAAACAAAGCTTTTTTGAAGTGTCAACTGACGGTCAAACGGACGAAAAGTTGACGATTTGGATGTTAGATTATTTTCGAAAAGGTTTGGCTATTATATTGTTTAAAATGAAAGGTTTGGATATTAAATTGTATTTACCCTTTTTTTTTAATGAATCTTAGGTTGAGTTTTGTCTAAATTTGAGTTTGGCGCGTTAAGGAATGATCTGAACTTGAGTTTGGCGCGTTAAGGAACGATCCGAACTCGAGTTTGGCTCATTAAGGAACGTATAATCTAACAATGAAGAGCCAGCTCATTAGCTCCAAACGAGTCATCTCACTAGTTGAGACAATGAGCCACTGAGTCGAGCTAGCTCGTGACCCTCATAAGTCGAACAAGGATGAACTAAACGAGCTGAGTTACGAATAAATTTTTACCGAGTCGAGCGTCGAGCCACTTGTGAGCAGTTTGGCTCATTTGCATCCCTAGAGACAACGCTTTTAGTGTAAGAGTTGTAATTGGTAAGAATTGTAATTGGTAAGTATGAATTGACCTGGATTTTCATGGTAAAATCGATTTACCATTTAGCTTGCAAATCTTCTCGACGGGCAGCGCATGGGCACATCTGAGTGTTGTGGATCCCTTGCTATGGGAATGAATTTGGAATTTGAATCTTTAGTCCAAACTGAGTTCTTTTTTTAGCAGCTCTTGATACGTGTGCTTACGACCTCTGTGTTATAGTGATGTGACGTGGGGGTGGCGTTTTTAGTACTTGAACAAAATAAAAGATTACAACTAGAACTCTCAAAGGAAATTGCGAATGAAAGGACGAAAACTAAATATTTGTGTTCCTATCTTCGTATCACTAACAAAAATGAATAGGTACATGTTTATAGGTTAGGAAATCATGATAATCCTTCTCCTTTTCCTAATGGGTCGGCCACCCTTTCTTCCCTTTCCTAACCGCAATATGAAACCTATTCTACAAAGAAACAAATACGTACTAGAAAATCTCAATACAATACCAACAAGTAAACATAAATAATAAATACCATAAAGTACTCAAACAATATCCAAATGCGAACTAATAATAAAATTATTATAAGATACACAAGCGGACAAGCCCAGTCTCGTAACATTCCTCCCTCCTTGAATACAACCTTGCCCTCAAGATTGGTTTTCCTACTCGATGAGCTGGCCCTCCTCCTCTTCACAACACGCACCAATCATGAGAATTGAGAAGTACGTTGTTGTTGGCACAACGATGACTAATGGTGAAGCACTCATCGCAATGGAAGCACAATACATGTGCTCGGAATGGAGCTACCTCTTCTGGCGAGATTCGGCGTGCCGCAGGATGGTGAGGTGGCATAAGCGATGATGATGATGTCACCGACGATCAGCCGACCTTCGCATTTGCTCGTGAAGTAATTCGAGCCACTAGACGATGCTTGGTGAGCTCGTCGCTTCTCACCTTGGCGAGGCGAATGACTTCTCGCATAGTTTTCGGGCGGAACATCCGAATAGCATTTAATATCTCCGGTTTTAGCCCACCAATGAATGATCCCACCAGAGCTTATTCGCCCCACCCAAAACAGTGATTGCCTAACTTTTCAAACGCCAACAAGTAGTCACTCAATGGCCAACTCTGCTTAATTTTGGTGAGAGACTCATGGCTTGATGCACCCTCCACCACCCCAAATCGAGCCCACCACTCCTCCCTAAATCGTGCCCATGTCACTGGTAATCCCAATGCGGTGTAAGTGTTATCCATCCACTGCCACCATTGATTCACATCCCCTTCCATATGATAGGATGCAAGAGGTATCTTGTGCTCTTCTGGTGTTTCCTGGAATTAAAAAAATTGTTCCACTCTTCCTAACCATCCAGATGGATCGTCGTTCCATTACACTTCGGGAACTGCAATTGAGTTAGTTTGGGCTTGAACCATCTGGTCTTCTCCTCCATCCCATAACTCGTCCCACGACCTCCTTCTCAATAACCCAACCTCGCCGGTCGATCCGCCCCTAACCCGAGCTAATCTCGTTTTGTCACAATACCTGCAGCCGGCTCCAACAGGCACAAATGACCCCGCTAACAGTCCAAGTGGCCCAGGTGGCCCAATCGGTGACTCAAGTTTACTTCCAGCCCGCTTCCTGTAGGCCCGATACCTCCCAACCCGATTCCTCGCCCCAAGCTCAGTTCTCATCCCACTCTCTGTGGGGCCCTCCCAGACCCTACCTCGCCCCTGCTACCCTGGCCAAGGAGCCTACTCCTCCACCTTCGTCCAACAGGTGGCCCATGTTGAGACCCATACGTGCTTTCGGCCCATCCCCCATCTACGACGGCCCACCTCCCATCAACCTGAATCGCAGGAACCCTACTTCAACTTTTGTTCCCCAGCCTGTGAGCAAATGATAGGGCAAAAGCGTAATGCCTCAATCCTATCTCGTAGTAAAACCGGAAAGTTCGGGTATCGTCTCTCAGGGACTGGTACAACCTTATAATATATCAATTCTATGAGCAAACTATAAGTGAAAATAGTTTAATGAGACTAATTTCTAAAATCAAAATAAACTAAACAAATAAAGCAAATGAAAACTGTCGGGAGAAATTCAATGGAGAAAGCTCTGGGAGAAACACCGGGACTCGCTACCTATCATATCCAAATTAATTCACATAGTCCAATCAATTTAATCCATATCTCTATAGCCAGGATATCACTACTGTGCTAGCTATCCCTGTCGGGAATTACTACATACTAAACAATCAAATCAAATCCTACTGTCATAGCTCAATGACTTAATTATTTAGCCTGAAGATCGATATCCTATTTAAGACCGCATAGCACCTTATTTAATCCACTATCGCTTCGATAAGTTACTATGTCACATGAAATATGTTCAATTATTAGGGTTTCACTGTCGCTAATAACCTAATTAACTACAAATCAATGTATTGGTGGCCAGTCAACACAAAGCATTAAGTAATTCCATGCGATAGAGATTGGAAGAAAAGAAATACGAATTAATCCATCAAGTCAAGAAATAGCTACATCCTATGGTGTTTCCCCCATAAATTGGGGTTTAGTTCATGACGAAAATAGAACAAACAATCATGTTTATAATCATCATAGAACTAATAAAAGGAAGAGACTACTAGATCGTCAAACTGCAGCACAATTGCTTTTGTCTTTCCACAGCAGCTCGTGTGCCTGTTGCGCTCTCCGCTCGCGTCTCCCCTCGTTCCGCCTGCTCTCCAATTATTCCCTAAATAAATTCTGTCCCAAAAGAATTCCCACTCCCCACTGATGGCCGCTACTCTTTTTTTGCTAGGTAACGGAAGTTGATACAAGTCGATCCGTTTTAATTTGGATCGAGCATTGATCGAACTATTTGTGGTATTTTGCTTGTGCTTGCATGCTCTGTCTCTTCGTGTTTTCCACCTAAAATATATCAAAATACTAACACGAACTGGTAATGGTCTTATAACCATTCCATAGTTAGTTGGCCCTAAAACAAGCATTATATGTCTCAAACATATCACGAAATAATCACAATAAGCACATAGAATCAATATGTTTTCGAAAATTATCAGACCCCACACTCAATACTTGCTTGTCCCTAAGCAATGGCTCAGACAAGAAACCGATAATTGGTGGAAACACAACACTGACCAGGGAGACACAACCTTTCTCAAAACATAATACCACGACACACAAAACAAACAATCAACACCAGAAATTTACCCTTGTACTTTTGTGGTAATCAGTAGTTTCTTTATTAAAAGATGAGTTGTGATTTTTTTATCATACCATTCACCCCACACTCAAGCTCTTTGCAACCATTACCATTGACTGACTCAAATCCACCAAAAACTCAATTAGTAAGCACTCAATTTAGGTCGTCGGTAGTGGGTGGTTAATAACTTATGGTGTAAAAGTTATTAGGAGAATCTAACCACATCAGTTAGGTGCATATTTCGTGAGGACAATCTGGCTTACTCACATCAATCATAAGTAATCAACTAAGCACAAGAGTCTCAAAAACTAATGGGGGAAGCCTTTCGCAAACATGATAATTAAACTTTAAGCACATCACTACCTTTTCTGACAAGGAGAGGCTTTCTCTCTTTCTGATTTTGCTTGCCGAGTGATCGTATTTAGTACAAGTGGGATTTGTTTCTTACTACCGGTGACCGAGCAAGAGCAATTTCTGCTTCTTAGCACCCGCATAAGGGCTTCTTTTAACTCCTTTTCCTCGGTCCGTGTGGAGGGTCACTGCACATCTCAAACAGCACTTCACTCAGCGGGGGATCGTACTTGATAAGCAACATCATACGGTCACGAACCGATGCTCAGTTGAACCTTTCCTAATCCCCTTGTGCAATGAGTGATTGCCTCACACGATTTTGGCATTTTTACCCACACTTTAATTGTTATGGCAACTTTCTTATCTTTTACTTGTCAGGTAGGATTTTTTTCCTTTTATAAAGATACAGTTCACCCCATATAAAAACATTCAAAACAGAGAGACTCATTGGCAAAGTCAAAAGCTCACAACAGATGCAAGTAAGCACGGTATCCAAACATGTCGAATGGTCAATGTTCTCCACCTAACTACTTCACCAAAAGTCATTCCACTATCCTCACAAAATAGAGTGTTGCTAAACGAGTTTGCTAATTTAAAGCAATCAAGTCAGTCAAAAACATCAAGCTCATTGTGAAGAACTATGCAATTCAACACTAGTGGGGGGTGATTTTGATGATTTCCTTCAAGCACAAACTCAATTCACACGCATCACGGTCATTTACATCATGTTACCACAAGAGTACAAGGTTTTGTTTTTAATTTTTCTAATTTTTAGGTGTTTTTAGCCATTAGGTTAGCATAGGCAGACTGCACCAACACAGGTGGACTGCATGCAGTTTGGCTGTGCACAACCCAAATGACAGTTTTTTTTTGTTTTTTTTTTGGGTTTTTTTACCACATACAACAGGGAAAAGCAACACTAAGACTCACCACCCCACACTCAAGATGGAACATTGTCCCTAATGTTCAACTCCTAATCTAAACATGCACGGGCTTGACACAACAAAAAAGAAAAAATAAAGAAAAGAAAACTCACCTTGGGTTGCCTCCCAAGAAGCGCTTGTTTAACGTCTTCAGCCTGACGTTCATCAAGATTTCAACCAATGGGTATGGAAAGGTATCCAGAATACCCTCCCGAGCAATGATAGAACGCATACCCTCCATCCAACATATGAGTCACCTCTGCAGGGCTAGGTGTGCGAAAATTAGGTACGACCTTCTTATCTTGCATGTTGGACCCTTTAGTGAGGCGTAGGTGGTACTGCAGCGCCTCAAGCTAGTACTCTTCCTGTTTCAATGTCAGTGAAGAAGGAATAATAACAGGAAGATTGAAATCCTTACCCAAATATCTGTACTTGAGATGACCTGGCAAGGATTTCTGTCCTTGCTTTGATTTCTGACTCTGAGCTGAGAGGATATGTGATAGTTCTTCAGGTGGTCCACTATCACAGGAAGAGAAAATTTTCTTTTCTCGAGCACCACTTTCAAAGTCATCAAATGCATCGTGATTATGATCAACTTGAAAGACAGTAAAAATTTCCTCCTCCTTACCTACTCGAAATGTCAACTTGCCTCTCCCAACATCGATGAGTGCATCACCAGTGGCTCGAAAAGGTCTACCAAGAATGAGAGGCACTCCCCGATCTTCTTCCATCTCCAGAATTACAAAATCTGTTGGGAGAATAAACTTCCCCACCTTCACCAATACATTCTCCACCACTCCCTTTGGAATTTTCACTGATCGATCAGCCAATTGGAGTGTGATCCGAGTAGGCTTAAGAACATCTCCCAATCCCAATTTCTTGTAGACTGAGTATGGAATCAAATTAATTCCTGCTCCAAGATCACAAAGTGATTTATCAAACTCTCTACCTCCAATGATGACACATGGAATAGTGAAGCTGCCCGGATCATTCCTCTTTTCTGGTAATTTATTCTGAATCACAGCACTACATTCAGAAGTAAGAGTTACCTTCTCTAGGTCAGACCATTTGCGCTTCTTTGTCATCAACTCCTTTAAGAATTTAGCATATGTAGGCATTTGTTCAAGTGCCTCCGCCAATGGTATGTTTATCTGAAGTTGCTTGAAGAGATTCACAAATTTCTTGAAGTTTGGGTCTTCCATGGGCTTCATTAACTTTTGAGGGAATGGTGCGGGAGGTTCATAAGGCTTTACCTCTTCATTCTTGAATTTTTTCACCTTTGGAGGTGCATAGGCAGAATGCTCATGCACAGGCAGATTGCATGCAGTTTGCCTGTGTAAGTCAGATTTTCCAACTTTTGTACTTTCTTCATCCTCTACCTCTGCAACTCCTTCTTTTTCAGATTTTGTTGACTTCCTTGAACTCTCTGGATCCTCCAAGTCCTTTCCACTCCTCAATGTGACAGCTACAACCATGGCATCCTTCGGATTCCTCTCAGTATTTGCCGGTAAAGTCCCAGGAATCCTTACTTGAATATCTGCCAAAATTTGAGCTATCTGGCCTATTTGCCTCTCCATAGCTAGCAAAGATGATTGCACGTTGTTGTTGATAGCTAGCTGTTGAGTGACAAATTGATCTAGACCCTTGAAATTATTGTCTGTTTCCTGCATATGAGCCAAAATCAACTCCTCTAACTGGGGCTTCTTCTCTGATTGAGGTTGCTGCTGTTGAAAACCAGGAGGTGGGATATTTTGAACACCAGCTGGATTATTTTTTGACCATGACATATTGGGGTGATGTCTCCATTGAGGGTTATATGTATTTGAATACATACCACCCTGTCCTTGACTTCACGGATTATTGATATACTGGACATCTTCCAACTGAGCAGCTCCCACTGGACACATATTCCTATGATGAGCACCCTCGCAAAATTCACATAAAGCAACCTCCTCTTGTCTACCCAGAGTAATCTTGGCCATCCTTCGTTCGAGTGCATCGAACTTAGAATCTAACTTGGCATCTATCTTGGCTTCTAGACTTGTAGCTCTGTCAACCTTATGCAAGCCTCCTCTTCTTCGAATACTGCTCTCACTATCCCATTCAGTGGCTTCTGAACAGATCTTCTTTACTAGATCATATGCTACTGGTGCCTCCATGCTTGTGAAACCATTCCGCGAAGCATTATTAAGGGCACCCCGAAACTCTCTTCTGATTCCATTGAAGAAAATAATGATCACTTTCCAATCCTCAAGACCATGACTTGGGCATCTCATCAACATCCCCTTGTAGCGCTCCCATGCCTCAATTAGACTCTCATCATCAGCCTGCTTAAACGTAACAATCTCTTCTTGTCTCTTCATTGCCAAGGCAGGTGGGAAGTACTTATCCATAAAGACCTTCT